AGCCAACCCTAACCTGCCACTATACTGCCCTTATCTGACAATATACCACCCTGATCTGATACTTTATTGTCCTAGTCTGACACTATACTGATCAGAGTTATCGGTCGTGCGGGGAGGAGGAGCTCTGCTGCCTATGCTTAGGCTGTCTGCAGTGCAAGGATGGGAGAAGGAATTGTCCCCTGTCCTCTGCCCTTCCTTGCAGTGACCCCTGTCATCTGCCCTGCCAGCAGTGACCCTTGTCCTCTGCCCTGCCAGCAGTGACCCTTGTCCTCTGCCCTGCCAGCAGTGACCCCTGTCCTCTGCCCTGCCAGCAGTGACCCTTGTCCTCTGCCCTGCCAGCAGTGACCCTTGTCCTCTGCCCTGCCAGCAGTGAGCCCTGTCTTCTGCCCTCCCAAGACTGACCTCTGTCCCTTGCCCCATTGACCTCCTATCCTCTGCTCCCTGACAGTTTTTACTGCACCCCCACATTGGACAGGCTAGATCCAGCCCTGGTCACTATCCTGGAGAAGTATGCAGCTCATCTTTGGTTTGCACGTTTGTTCCTGGTTTCTTGAAGCTAGAGAGAGCCAAGCAATCAGCATTTTCAAAAGAAGGTCAACCTCTATATGTGTCTTAATATTAATTTCTGCTAAAGTGTAACTGCACTTTAATGGGCTGATTTAAAAAAAAAAACATATCAAAACTGTTTGCCCAGTGAAAGTCCAAGTCCTTTTGTTCTGTGTAAATAGGGAAAAACAAATGTAAATAGGCTATTCTGACTCCAACTGTTGTATTAGTAACTTATCCCTTGCTGAGACCTTTATGTCTGGCCTGTATAAGCAGATACCATCACTGCGGACAGTCTTTATCAGATAGCTGAACTCACCAAACACCGATTTATGATCCGTGATGGTTCTTATTGAATGCAGCTTGATTATAGCAGACAACTAGATGTAACAGATGAATGAAAGGATGGTATTTGAGGTCAGAACATGGTAATGTGTACCTGGATGCAAATAGATTACATGTGGCCTAAAGACTAGCAGCCATGGTTATTCTACAATGCATTTAAGAAGGAAGTTGTCACAGAAATGCCTACAAGATGGCAGTATATTAACTAATTATAGTGAAACTAATAAACAATAGCTAAGAAAAATCAGCTATATGAATTCTCAATTAACAGTAATATCAGTATTAAGTAACTTTTTTTTTCTATGGTTGAACAGGATGGACTTTTGTCTTTTTTCAGCCAGACTAACTATGTAAGTATTAACCATAATTATGCACTGTGTTATATTTTCACACATGTGTGATAGTACATAGGCTATATCCTGTGCTGTTTAATTGTAAAACCTTTGATTTTAAATAGAAAATACTGTATTCTGCCACTAGATGGAGCTAAATATTATAGGAAATTCCTATGATACTTATCTCCATCTAGTGGCCAAATGCAGTATATTCCGTTTTAAATCAGTTTACATTCCAAAACCAGTGTATAGCCTACTTACATTCATTTTTGTTGCCTCATTCACACAGGACAAATAAAATTACACTTTCACTGATGTGAGCACTTCAAATTAACCCCTAAGTGTGACATCAAGTCAACACATTGGTAGCGCCGTTGTCACTGGTACAGGAAGGCACAGACAGTAATAAAAGCATTGTCAAATGTTCTATCCCTTCCCTACTCTATTAAAACTATCTTTCTCCACTTAAGAGATTTCCAATTTCTTTCTGCCCTGGCAGAGAGTGATGGGAAATCATCCATAGTAGGGACACATATAGAAATAAAAAAACCCAACAGGGGCTCTAACCCTTTGGTGATTTTATTGGAATTGGCTGAAAAGAGACTGAAGGAGGTCAGCAGCACTGAGCTGCAAACATGGATGAAAACAAGTTAAAACAGTATTTTATAAGAAAAAATACAGGACTGCAGATAACATCTCTTTCATACAATGATACGTACAGCAATGTGCTGCGATGCTTTTTGACATGTTGGGCAATGTGCCAATAGTTCATTATGCAGGATCACTGTGTTGGTGGCAATGTGTCATATCATTAATAGTGGAATTTTCGTTTGCTATGCATTTTAGCTCAGAAAACACAATCGAATTCTTGGCAATGTGCCTGGTATGAATGAAGCCTTAAACAAAAATAGGACAAGTAAATATTTTATTACTAATGTAGATCTAAATCCTAACTAAATGACATTAAGTTTGCTAAAGCACTGTGTATCATGAACCATTGCCTTTTTTCCATAAGATACCTTTTTGTATCTCAGTGCTGCTGATCTCCTGCAGGCCTTGTCTACATGTACTCACACCATCATTGGATGCACATCATTGCTCTGAGCCAGCTTACTCATGGTGACAGTGATGGGCCATGCCTGCGTCCACTTGGCTGCTTGTGGTTTTACACTAGGGATAGGGTGACAACATAGGAGCACAATGGGGAGCCAGTTGTCACTATACCAGGAAGTGCCTGAACTAGGACCATGGTAGACAAGATTTTTGTGATTGGGTTCAGATCTGCTAAAGCCAAAATAAACAAAAAAGTATGGAATGATTTCAGTTCTGTTCTATAAAAGTTAATAACAACAAGCAATGTGGTGGCACTTCATGGATTCTCAAGTGAACTAGTACAATATGCTTCCTATTCCTCCCCTCTGTCCCCAGACTGTTGGCGGTGGAGACAATAATGTAGCATCGCCAATCATATCACATTTAGCACACTGACATGATATGTTTTGTCACTTGCTTTTTTTTGTCCCAAGTGAGGAACAGTTCTTACAAGCGTTGTGACTATTGTGACTGTGGTCATAAAAGATTTACCAGATCTTCACTCTAGAGACAGGGTAGATTTTAAGATTGTTAAAGTAAAGCCTAACTGGATGACATTTAGTTTGCTAAAGCATTGTAAATACTTGGTATCTTCATAATAATAATGAAAAAAAAATCAAATATTTTTAAAATCATTGTTACATCTGATAGCTGCTGATCTTCTTCAGCCTCTTGCAGCCACTTTATATCTACAGTTGTGTTCACAATAATAGCAGTGTGTTGAAAAAAGTGAATGAAAGCTCAAAATCCTTCTAATAGCTTTTATTTCCATACACACAAATGCATTGGGAACACTACACATTCTATTCCAAATCAAAACATGAAGAAAAATATATCAAATTTGTGTTGTTCCTCTTAAAAAAATTGAAGAAAAGTGAATATTAGACTGTTCAAAAATATAGCAGTGTCTGTATTCTTCTTTACAAACTCAAACATTCACTATATAAACTGAAACATGTTTGAAGATTTTGCTTTCCTTTGAATCACTTAATTAATATTTAGTTGTATAAGCACTGTTTCTGAGAACTGCTGTACATCTGTGTTGCATGGAGTCAACCAACTTCTGGCACCTGTGAACAGGTATTCCAGCCCAGGATGATTGGACTACATTCCACAGTTCTTCTCTATTTCTTGGTTTTGCCTCAGAAACTGCATTTTTGATGTCACCCCACAAGTTTTCTATTGGATTAAGATCCTGGGATTGGGCTGACCACTCCATAACGTCAATCTTGTTGGTCTGGAACCAAGATGTTGCACGTTTACTGGTGTGTTTGGGGTCGTTGTCTTGTTGGAACACCCATTTCAAGGGCATTTCCTCTTCAGCATAAGGCAGCATGACCTCTTCAAGTATTCTGATGTATTCAAACTGATCCATGATCCCTGGTATGCGATAAATAGGCCCAACACCATAGTATGAGAAACATCCCCATATCATGATGCTTGCGCAACCATGCTTCACTGTCTTCACAGTGTACTGTGGCTTGAATTCAGTGTTTGGGGGTCATCTGACAAACTGTCTCCGGCCACTAGACCCAAAAAGAACAATCTTACTTTCATCAGTCCACAAAATGTTGCGCCATTTCTCTTTAGGCCAGTCAATGTGCTCTTTGGCAAATTGTAACCTCTTCAGCACGTCTTTTTTTCAACAGTGGGACTTTGCGGGGGCTTCTTGCAGATAGCTTGGCTTCACATAGGTGTCTTCTAATTGTAACAGTACTCACAGGTAACTTTAGACCTTCTTTCATCTTCCTGGAGCTGATTGTTGGCTGAGTCCTTGCCATTTTGGCTATTCTTCTATCCATTCGAATGGTAGTTTTTCGCTTTCTTCCATGTTTTGGTTGCCATTTTAAAGCATTTGCGATCATTTTAGCTGAGCAGCCTATCATTTTCTGCACTTCTTTATATGTTTTCCCCTCTCCAATCAACTTTTTAATGAAGGTACGCTGTTCTTCTGAACAATGTCTGGAACGACCCATTTTCCTCAGAATTTCAGAGAGAAATGCACTGTAACCAGCATGTACAACATTTGCTGCCTTCTTTCCTTAAATAAGGGCAATAATTGCCACCTGTTTTTCAAAGAATGAATGACCTCACTAATAGAACTCCACACTGCTATTATTTTGAACATGCCCCTTTCAATTAGTGATTCAATGACACAGAATCAGCAGCATGCATGTCATGACTGTTGGGTCTGTTGGATTTCTATTACTCTACTACACCTGCTAGTACATTATTTGCCATGTAGAAATATCATTTCTACCAAAAACAGTGATTGATCAGGTTAGTGATGTCTGACTGCTATTATTTTGAACACAACTGTACATGCTCTCCATCAAGGGCTTCTCAGGGTGGGTTTCATAATGATGACAACAGTGGACCCTACCTTTGTATTTTGAGTTAATACAGTTACTTGAACTCTGCACTGGAAGCGTGGGTGACAACACAGAAGCACAATTGGATAACAGAATTAGAGGGTTGTCACCCTCTGACAGGAAGTGCCTGAACAAGGACCCTCATGGCTGGTATTATTTTAATAAAACCTGAAGATTTAGAAGTATTAAAAACGGATTTTGAAATTAAAATAATATGGTAAAGCTTAAATGAGATTTTAGTAATCAGGTACATCCACTTTAACCCCTTGGTGCTGGCGCATCTCGGCCCTTTACCCCTGGTTCACATATATGCGGCCATGCGGGCTGCATTTTGCGTGGGCACAAGAGCCCATCCATTTGAATGGACTCCCATGCCCCGGGACACGCAGGGAAGAAGTCCCTGCACTTCTTCTGAAAACGCAGCCAGCATGGGAACCTTGGTTTCCATTACGGTTGCGATTTCCAGTGCGGGCAGCGTGCCATTAGAAATAATGGCACCCGCCCGCAGGTCCGCATTTGTCCGTGCGGGTGGTGCGTCTGCACGGATTTTCGTGCGGATCCGCAGTGGCCCCTGTGACTGGGGAAGAAGCGAATGGAGCGTGACCTGTGCTCCATTAGCTTCAGTGGCAGTTAGGGGAGATATTAGGGTCTAAGAGAAAAAAAAAAAGTTTAAAAAGTACCCAAACACATAAAACAAAATTCAGCTCCTCTTCACACACTCTATAATTGACCTTCACAGCGAGGAGCACATGAAAGGGCGACGCATGTCAAACAAAAAGAGAAACATTCCCAGCTCAGCTTGCCAACCAGCCTGCAAAAAACCAAATTAAACATATCGGCATGGATGTCACTCCACTTCCTCAAACTCAATCTTTCCAAAACTGAGCTCATACTATTCCCCCCAGCCCGTGCCCCCTCCCCTGACTTCTCCATCAAGATCAATAACATAATCATCAGTCCCTCCCCTCATGCCAGGGTACTGTAATCCTAGACTCCCATCTGTCCTGTCAGCCCCAAATCCAATCACTGTCCAAATCTTGTAGACTTCACCTCCACAACATCTCCAAGATACGCCCGTTCCTAACCTCGGAAACCACTAAGCAACTTATTCACTCCCTTGTTATCTCTCGCCTTGACTATTGTAACTCCCTCCTCATTGGCCTACCTAATCGCAGGCTATCCCCTCTTCAGTCTATCATGAATGCTGCTGCCAGACTCATCCACCTTACTAACCGTTCTGTATCTGCCACCCCTCTCTGCTAATCCCTCCACTGGCTTCCCACTGCCCAACGAATAAAATTCAGAACACTAACAATGACAATAACGTATAAAGCCATTTATAACTCTGCCCCAAATTACATCACCAATCTTGTCTCCAAATATCACCCAAACCTTACTCTCCGCTCCTTGCAAGATGTCCTTCTCTCTAGCTCCCTTGTCTCCTCCTCCCATGCTGGTCTCCAGGACTTCTCCAGAGCTTCCCCCATCCTCTGGAACTCTCTACCCCAATTTATCAGACTATCGCCTACTCTGCTCACTTTTACGTGATCTCTGAAAACCTATCTCTTCAGAGAAGCCTATCCTGCCCTCAGCTAATACTGGAATCTTCTACTCTTCCAACCAGTCCATCCCCCACAGTTACTACCTTTTGTACCACTAGCCCCTCCCTTCTAGATTGTAAGCTCCCAGGAGCAGGGCCCTCCTATCCCTCTTGTATTGAACTGTATTGTTGCTGTATTGTCTCCCGTTATATTATAAAGTGCTGAGCATACTGTTGGCGCTATATAAATCCTGTATAATAATAATAATAATAATCTGTCTAACAGTATGCCTTATAAACAGGGGTTTAGTTAGCACACATTTGCAAATACATGCGTAAGCTACACGGCACCCCGATATTCTGTAGTTCCTAACTCTATAAATTTTGAGTGCCCCCATAGTAGAATCACATGTATGCAAATGGAGCATGATCTGTGCTCCATTAGCTTCAGTGGCAGTCAGGGGAGACATCAGGGTCTAAGAGAAAAAAAAAAGTTTAAAAAGTACCCAAACACATAAAACAAAATTCAGCTCTTCTTCACACACACTTTGGGTATTGACATGCACGTTGGAGTGAGATAATTCCAGGGCCACCATTATGATTAACTCTACACTGTTCATCTGTAGGGGCTTTTAAAGTGTCACCTACAGAACATTTTGTGTGCAAAAAATGGTCACTGCCCCAGTCTATAACTGGCCTTCACATCATGGAGCACATGGAAGGGTGATGCATGTCAAAGAAAAAGAGAAAATTCCCAGCTCTGATTGCCAACCATCCTGCAAAGAAACCAAATTAATCTGTCTAACAGTATGCGTTAAAAACAGGGGTTTAGTTAGAACACATTTGCAAATACATGCATAAACTACAGACCTTCTCCATGGCACCCCCCGATATTCTGTAGTTCCTAAGTCTACAAATTTTGAGAGCCCCATACTAGAGGCACATGTATGTGAATGGAGCGTGATCTGTGCTCCATTAGCTTCAGTGGCAGTCAGGGGAGATATTGGGGTCTAAGAAAAAAAAAAAAGTTTAAAAAGTACCCAAACACATAAAACAAAATTCAGCTCTTCTTCATACACACTTTGGGTATTGCCGCGAACGTTGGAGTGAGATAATTCCAGGGCCACCATTTTGATTACCTCAAAACTGTTCATCTGTAGAACATTCTGTGTACCAATGTTTGTGGCTGTTTCACAGGCGTGCATCATTTTAAGGCTATACATGTTTGATATCTATTTGCTCGGCGCAACCTTATCTTTTATATTGTACCAAAACATGTGGGTAATATATTGTGTTTGTGTGCAATAAAATGAAATTTAGTGTATGTTTTACTGAAAATATGGGTTTGAGAAGCTATTGCCCTAATATCATGTAACACTTGAAATTGGAACGTCCACTGTTGTATTCTCTTTTTATTTCTGCTTTCAGAAAATGAATGCTGTACGAGGAGTTTTAACTAACCTTCAGGACTAAAAATGTGCATTTTAATGTGTGTAAAAAATGCAAACGTACTCATTTTTTATTGTATGAATGTGGGTGCATTTGTTCCATTTTTGCAGAAGGTGAACTGTGCCTTTGTTTTCCATTCATCAGAGATTATTTTGGGTGTTCCCTTCTGCTTGGCAGTATGTACCGCAAATTCTTTCATATGTTCATGTTTAATTTTGTATTATTTGAGCACCTGTTTGTCAGATCATAAGGCAACTCTCTATAAATAAATAAAAAAAAAACACTCTGCTGCTTTATTTATAGAAAATTGAAACCTTTGTTAATGTCACCTGGAAGCTTAGCAATGAAAGAGCGAGATTCCTCAAACCGGAATCACATAGCTGTTTTCTTAGTCATGTCAGTTTGCACAGCAAGATGCATTGTACATTTCATGTTCTTTATTTTTGGAAAGGAAATCTCGAGTCCCAACCTGCATTTGGCTGCCTGGCAGAGACACAATGAGATCTAGCTGGGAGTGTGGGCTGTCATAGGGACTAAGTCAATCTCATCGGCTGCTAGTCTAGACCAGCAGACAAGGCTGATCACAGCAGTGCTAGCTAGTGTGTGCTTTTTTTTTTCGCAGAGCTTTATTGAACTGTCATGAGTGACAATTTAGATGGTTGTAAACCCTTACATATACCCAGCAAAGTGATTGGATGAAACAAAACCTCCTACATACGTTGTACTTTATCACCCAAACTGTCCTCTCCACTCCTCCCAAGAACAAACTAGATCAATCTGGAGCTACAGAGGGCTCCTTCTCTTCTCTCCTGGAGCAGCAAGGAAGGGAATGTGGTGTGCAGTTAACACCCAACTTTGGCTTCTGTCCCTCAACCCTCAGCTGTATTTTATGCTTTTATATACTTACCATTTCCAGATGTCTTCTGGCCAGTTGCATGACACCGACACACAGGGTTCCCTTCACCCCTTCTGTGGAGTGGTCTTCAGAAATGCAAAAATTGATGATAATTGGGCCACTCTCTGCATCGTTGTACTGTGAATGCAGGCCACATAGCAATGTCCCCCCTGGGGTGCGGTCCATGACACCCTGCTCTCACAATGCATGGGCCATCATTCAACTTGGAAGACTAAGGCCATCTTGTGGCAAAAGCTATTACTAAAGTGGACAGAGAAAGTGAGCATTGCAGCCAGAGCTACTTTTTTATTCTCAGTCCAGCTGGGACACCATTAAAAACGAGTTTTGGGGTTTAAATGTTCACATTGTTTTTCCCCGTGTGGGCCCTTTCAGTGTCTATCAGTACCACTTGGAGATACAGAGGACTTTTTCTCTCTGGTGGATATATGGTACTACAGCAAAATCCCACAGATATATTAGTGCACAACAAACTCCATTTAAGGCCTCATGCACACAGGATGATAAAAAAAACTCTCCTAGAAGCCCTCCTCCTGGCAGCAATGTTTGTGCAGAAAACACACCTGACGCTTTTAAAGTATCCAACGCTTTTACAAGCACTTACAAACCTGAAGCGCTTGGGCATTAATTCACTTAATTGGTTATAATAATATTTTATTCTGGCCATGTAAATGAATTAATGCTCAAAGCGCTAAACGCTCCTAGCATTAAGACGTGTTTAGCCATGCCAAGTGTTTTTTCCTGCCAAAACGCTGCTACTCCTGGACACACTGGCCCTCTTTTTTTTTCTGTTGGTAAATGCTACTGCTACTAAAAGCTTCTAAAAGTCTGTGTGCATGGACACATAGAATAACATAGAGGGCCATTTGGAAGCAGTAAAAAAAAACCAAAATGCCTGATGCCCTTAAAAGTGGCTGCAAAAACAGCCTGTGCGTGTATGAGGCCTTATTCTGCTAGGTCTGATTTTAGATATCTGTTGCATAGAGATGGTTACAGTACAATAATAGAAATTTTTTTCACATACTTACAGTAATTTTCCTTTCCTGGCACCAATCCATGTCAGCATACATGTGCTGTATGCTGCCAGGAAAATGAAAATTGTATCAAATACTTAGAATTTTCCTTTCCTGGCACCAATCCATGTCAGCATACATGTGGTAGAATGCTGCCAGGAAAATGAAGATTGTATCAAATACTTACAATTTTCCTTTCCTGGCACGAATCCATGTCAGCATACATGTGCTGTATGCTGCCAGGAAAATGAAAATTGTATCAAATACTTACAATTTTCCTTTCCTGGCACCAGTCCATGCCAGCATACATGTGGTAGTATGCGGCCAGGAGAATGAAGATTGTATCAAATACAATTTTTCCTTTCCTGGCACCAGTCCATGACAGCATAACCACTATGCCACTGTGCTATCTCGAAGTGCAATACGTTTCCCATTTTTGCTTATTAGCGGCCCATGAAAGGCGGGGACTGGCCTGAAATAACCAGAAGCAGATAATATTTTTTGCTTAAACAAGGAACTGCCAATTCCAGTGATACTGTCCATGAAATGAATACTTGGTCATCACCAGAGACATCATTTTGTACAGATAACCTTTCAAAGCCTTGGTGTCACTTTATTATAGTGAGGTAGAGAATAACTTTTCTTTTTTTGTGTGT